TATATAATATGTATTTTTTATTCCATGAAATTCCAGAAATGATTTCTTATATTTAAAATTAGACCGCCTGGAAATTTCAAATTCAACCAATATTCTTAAGATATATGGTGATAAGATTTTGTCAAATATGAAGAAATGCAGCCATCTCTTCAACATGTATGTTTAAAAGGGCATCAGTTTAGGGGTAAACCCCACATTTATTTATAATGTTATTATAACTATAATAGTATATTATAGTTAAAGTTGATTTTTTTGAATAATGAAGGCTATTACCCAAAGGATCTTTGCATTTATAGTTTATAAAGAACTAGAAATTATATCATGAACTTGGTATCATTATATAATTCAAACTGTGGTTCTAGTGTATGAGTGTGCTTGAGGGCTTGTTGGGCTCTAGGCTCCTCACACCAAGTTCAGTCCTGTTCTTCTATAGAGGCCTTCAGCTAAGCTCTGGTTGGAGAATAAGGTTTCTGATGCATACCGTCTGTCATGTAAAAACAACTATTAGAAATAATTCAGTTTTACTAGATTTATTTAGAAGATACTTCTAAGATTTGGATTATGGACTAAAATTAACTTTTAAAAAAAAACTCCAGTTTTTTGTTTGCTTTTCATGGATTAACTGAATAAAATTTGTGTTAGTTAAGGATTCTGATTATTTGCAGTGTGGATGATCATAAGTGAACCATGAGCCCTTTCTAGCCAGGGTAAGTTAACAATGCAGTTTCTTATCTATCAGGTCTCTCACAGTTTATAAGAGTCATGCTATCGTAATTCCTGGTGACAGTACAATGAACCCTAGTAACCGAAAGTTTTTATAGCTGATGACTTCACTAGACTTGTCTAGACAGCAGTTACTCTATCGAATCATAGCATGTTAGGGCTGGAACAGATCTAACAAAGATACTGTAGCTTAGGTGGCCTAAATATTCTATTTGCTATTGTAGCCATGGTTTGGGGGTTTAAGGGATGGTGAGACCAATGACTTCAGCCAGGAAAGTGGGAAACTGATAGGCATAAATAGGATGAAAATGTAAACATACATAAGTATTCTTCTCTGGAAACAGCAGCAAATTTGAAAGAAATTTGATGTCTGGTCACACTTGTCAAAATGGAAGAAACTCTCTGGAGTTTTTACCTAGAGAAAGTAATTGCAATCCAATCCATAACCTTTGGATTGACTCTCCTTGGCAAAATAATGCTAGCTTTAAAAAGTAATGCTAGCGTTCTGATTTTCGCTAATGAAATCCAGATGCTCTCAAACAGTTAATAATCAGTAGGGTTTGGATTGGATCTTCATGGTTCCCCAGTCTTCAGCTATTTTATTCAGCCATTTTATTCAAAATAATTGGTTAAATAGAAAAACAGATTGACTAACAAACTTTTTAACTGGTTGTTTTGCTCTTCTGGCTATTGACATAAAACTGCCAGATGCGATTTAATGGTGAGCCTGAACTCTAATCCCTTAGCTTTACTGGCCAGTAAGTACAAAGGCCAGATATACCTGCTAGTCCAAAGGAATCCAGTTGCTTTCATTGATTTAGAATTAGTCTGAGCATCTGGGATAACGATAGCCTTGTCTCTGAGAGAGTGTCTTGGGTATTTAAACAATTGGATGGGTGAGACAGTTGCCATGTAAGTGCCCTGAGGGAAAATATTAGCTGAGCTTCTCATTAACTTTGTGAGTGTGAGAAAGTGACTTATGCCAGTAAGACTTTTTTCAGAGAAAGGACTTTAATGATTTCCTGAGGATTTTGACTTATTAGGAATTAACATTAAGTGCTTTCTTTGTATTTGGTGAAAAGTTTTCATGTGAAGTAAGTATACTTTGCTCTGATCCTTCTGACTGAGGGAATAACTCTTGCCTCTCTCTCTCTGACTGTCATATTTCTGCAGGAAGCTGCCCTCTGTAGACAGCTCCCCATGGAAGCTGAGACTCTGGCCACGGTTCAGGCTGCTGTCAACCCACCTGCCATGACCCCAGACATGAGATCCATCACTAATAATAGCTCAGACCCTTTCCTCAATGGGTAAGTTAACATTTTGGGGCCACTTATTTTTGCTTTCTTTATTTTGTGGTCTAGAGTATAATGGGTCTTTGTTTATGTTGGAAAAAGTTGGGGAGCTTGGAAGTTAGAATGAGGACAGAGGGAGCAAGTAGAAGGAGGTGGCAGAAAAAATAAAGGCAGAGGAAGTCATCTACCTTTCTTTTTAATCTGAAATTAAAAAATTGATGATATGACAAGAACTGAACTCCTAGTCAATAATTTGAAAATGGGAGTGAACCTTAGTAATTTCAATGGGACAGTGTTACATAGTAATTATTTGGAAGAATCTTGTGGTTTTATGTAACCAGTGGGGGGTAAAAGCATGTCATGCGGCTAACAGAGAACATAACAATTAAGAGAGGATGTTTACAGTGAAATGTGAATAAGGTCTATAGTTAAGTTAATAGTATTATACAAGATCAGTTTCCTGGTTTTGATAATTGTGCTATGGTTATGTAAGAGGTCACTGGGGAAGCAAGGGAAGGGTGCACAGGAGCTCTGGACTCCTTTTGCATCTTCTGTGTGATTCTAAAATTATTTCACAATAAAATTAACTAAAACAAAGAGATGATGTTTTGAAAAGGAAGCATATGAGCAGAAGGAAAAGATAATTTAGTCAGGAATATCTTTGTGAGTAGAAGTAGTCTTTTAAACCAAAATAAGGGGCAATATTCTATTTCCTATGCTTTTTCTGCCCTCGCAGAGGTTTCTGGCAAACAAATAAATACAATTATAAAGGTTATTAAAAAGAAAGAGAGAGATGAAAGCAAACAATAGCTGAAACAATGAAAGAATGGAGATTTTAAGTTGTTGGTTTAAAAGCATTTCAAATGTACAGAAAATGAGAAAGATAGTGTAAAATTTACCTATGTACCCAAAACCCAGATTTGCCATAGTTTTACAGCTCTTATTTTTTTAAAATAAGTATTGCAATTATATTTAAATTCATTTCCACCACCACTAAAATCTGTTTCTTGCTTTTCTTCCCTCCCTAATGGTAGCCACTATTTACAGATTGGTGTATGGTTATCACACATGTTTTTATGCTTCTTATTGCCTGTTAACGTTTGCATCCAAGGAATAGTCAACATTATTTTTTGTTTTTTAAAATTTACAAAAATGATTTCATACTCAATATGTAGAATAATGCTCAAATTGTTATTTTGAGATGAAAAGAAAGTCAGTGTCAATTTACTATTAACGGTTAATTTTATTTGCTTACAACTTATTAATTTCATTGACATTGGGATGTGTGTTTTAAAATTAAGAGTAGGTGCAAAGTCTATCTCTATTACCTGGAAAATTGGGCAGAATGCCAAAACTACACTAGTTTAGGGTTTTCGTGACTGTATATTAGTTTGAAATTTCTTTATCTATAAACTGAAGTTTCTCCATCTTTTGCTCTCTAGAGGGCCATATCATTCGAGGGAGCAGAGCACTGACAGTGGCCTGGGGTTAGGGTGCTACAGTGTCCCGACGACTCCAGAGGACTTCCTCAGCAACGTGGATGAGATGGACACAGGTAGGAGCAAAGCCTGCGAGGACTTGCAATGAGTTTGCATTTTTAAATCATCTTTTTAGTCATCTCAATTCTGAAATCCGACCAGAAACGCTTAATCTCAACAACATCAATATAAAATGACAACTGAAAAGGCACCCAATCTTCCAGGCACCATTAATAAACTCTTGCTCCTTCCCTATAGTTTATACAAATATAGTTTTATATATGGATACAAGATTTTAAATTCTGCTTTTTTTCTCTTCTTTTGTTTGTTTTTGTTTTTGTTTTTTGTTTTGCTTGCCCTTGCTTCATATAGCCCTTGTCTCACAGTTACACTAGCATACCTCTGTCTGCTTTGCCATTCTTCCACAGTGCAATGTTTGTGCTGTTCTGGTTTTCCAGTCTAATGCATATAATGAAGTGGTACTGGTTTATAGTTCTACCAGCATAAAAATTTCTTCATGTTGTTCACTGCATTTAGGAGGGAATTGGCAGTGGGCATTTGGAAAGTCAAGCAATTCAGAGGATTCTAAATTGTCAGTTCCGAATCCCACGATGGCAACAATGTCCTTCCTGATCAATTAAAAAGAGTAGGGTGACTTTAACTTAGTCCCCTAGCTGCACTGCCTTCAGGTCAGGCGTCAGTTGGCTTCCCAGTTACCTCTCTTTTCCTCCTCTTCTCAAGGAATAGGCCCTACAGCTGCAAAAACTGAATTTGGTCTTCTTAGCCAAATCTAGACTTAATTATCAAAGTCCTAAACTTCCGGACAAAATTCTAGATCCAAAAATAGACAGCTGAAGTATCTACTATTTGGAGTTTTTCATGCAAGTTTCTTCTCCACCTTCACTAACAACAGACAATTAATTGTTCTGTTATGAAAATAATTGCTTTCTCCAGTGCTGTTGTCCATGGTGCCTGTGTTGTCACACGCTACTCCTGGATGACTGCTCTTCCTGCTCTGAATATAAATTATTGGTCAGAACAGAGTCAGACTCATTCAGGCAGGATGAGACGTAGAGCAGCTGCCCAGGGTGCCCTTACAGGCCATTATCTACATGGTTAGAGGATTGCACAGGAGTCACACAGGAATAGTTTCAACTGTTTGTTATGTTACCCTTTAATTTATTACTTCAGTTTTCTCTCTCCCTTCCTGCCACCCACCCTCTCTTTCTTCATCTCTCTTTATTTTTTTGGCATCAGATTTATTTTGCCCTCTTCGGAGTGGCTCCTTCCTATGTTTAAAAATTGTTTGCTTTATCTTTTAAACACTGGGAAGCCAGTAAAGATAAAAAGTAACGTTAAATAAGAAAAGGCTTAAGGAGATCTAAATCTAAGCTTGACATTTAAAACAAAAAGATGAAGTCTGTTCTGTGGCTTTTAAAAATGGCCTCGAGTGGGTAAATAGGGAATGTTTTAAAGCCAGAATATGGAGTTAAGTGGTGTCCTGAAAAGAACATGGTCTTTGCAGACAGGCAACCTAAGTTGAATACTTGCTTCTCCACTTACTGGTAGTGACTTTGGGTAAGTGACGTAACCTCCTGGGGCCTCAGATTTCTCACCTATAATGTGAGAATAATGTGCTCACTTCATACACTTCTGAGGAGTCATAAGATCACAGAGCTTGGCCCAAAGTTCTCTTCTTCTTCTACAAAGGCTGAACCTGATAAATGTTAGAGTTCCAAGTTAGCCTGGTTATGTGAGTATCAGCCCACTGAGTTTAGGGTCACCTCTGTGAAGTCTTTGTAGGAAGTGGGCATAAACCCCCTCAAGGAAAAGCTAAGGTGGGCAGAGCTCAAGTATGGCTGGGAAAGGTCTCTTAGATCCACTGACCACATGCTGAATGGGTGCGAGCCAGCTGAGTTCTCCCCTTGCAAAATGCACATGGAAGCAACAGCTGGTCTTGGTGTGAGGACAGAGTAAAGGAACTGGCAAGAGCAAAATCTGGGAAGTCATCTATCCTTTCAGAATATTCTGAATTAATCACACTCTTTTAAGAATTGCCAGGTTTTTGTCTCTTTTACTTTTTAAGTGGATAAAACTGCAAAAACCAAAAAAGATTACTATGAGAATGCAAAGTTTCTCCAAAGAGAGATATTTTAAAAATTGTTAATCTAAATAAAGCATCTTAGCTAGTCTCCTTATGCTTTCCATGTCTGAAGAGAAAAGATAAGAGGAATTCTTTAACACAGATTTTGTTTAGTTAAAAAGTGTATACTTGAGTTATTAGAAAGTTAAAATGAGAAATCAATAAAGGTGAATGATTCTGACTGGAGACAAAGAAAAAAAAGACATCCAGCACTTTAGATCAGATAATTTTCAGGGCTGATAATTTTTTTAAACCTCACTTCCATCTGTTACACTCTAGTGGGTAGAAAAAAGTTATTTTGAATTTTTTTTTATTTTGATGTCTTCAATTTCATAACACTATATTTAGGTCATGTGGTTGAACTTGATTTAAGTTTCAAATTTCCTTTTACAATGAAAATCCTATAAAATATTGCCAAGAATCACTGATATTTTATGAGTTATAGAAAAGTCATTAAGCTTTGCTATCACCAAAATGAAGTTTGTTTTTGTTTCTCTCATTAGGAAAAATGTAATTTTTCTCCTTGGAAAACATTTAATATATGTGGTTAAAATGAATTATCTGGAGTTTTGCTCAGAATAGTGAAATTTCTATGTACTTTTAAGACACAAAAGCTAATTTAATGAGTTTTTTTAAATGATGCTATGTTGGAAGCTGTCCTTAGTTATCAGTGCTTCTCAACCTTTAAGGTATATTTTATCCCTTCAGAAGATTGTTTGGGGCTGTTTGAATTAACTAGTTATTCTAATAATATGTAATCAACAGTGATTGAGTTCCAAGATTTTTTCTTTTTTCTTTCAACACAATCAACAAACATTTAATGTATTTTTGTAGGTATATGAGTTTGTATGTATGAAAGGTACCCAGAGCTGTGGACGTGTTGCAGACATTATATGATGCTTTACTTCAGTTTATGAAGAAGGTATTATACTCTCAATTTCAGATAGGTAAAGTGATGGTCAGACAAGTTACATGTGTCTAAAGTCACACAGCTAAAAAGGTCAGTCTACTGGCACGAAGGTCAGTACATTTTTTCCCGTACTGTTCTTCAAAAAGAACTTATATTCTTCATGTTATATCCCAGAGAGTTAACTTTCCTCTAAATAGTATTTTTTCAGCTCTGATCTATAGACTCTAGTTATGTTAGAATATAAAGTCTGCCGAAATAGGATTAGGTGATTAAATGGGTTTAAGAAATGGATTTCTAAACAAACAAAATAAAAGAAAGCAGATTTTTTTTACTGCAAGACTTCTAAGAACCTTCATATGCTCACATTGCATTGTGACTCGTGCCTTGTGGAAAAGTAGATGTGGGGAGTATGTGTGTGTGGAGGGAGGGGGATGATCTGCAGAACCCACTTTATAAAATGCTTTGAAATTTATCCCTAGAGCCTCAGTGAAGACAGCCTTTTAATAATATGGTTAAAAGAAACTCCTCATGAAGAGGGAGGATATGGGTAAATATAAGCTCACAATAAATCCCGAGATGATAGCCTTGTGATAAGGTATTTATTACAGGCAGGGCCTCTCTACTCTTTTGCAAAAACAGCTCTTCATGCTTTCACAAGAAGGCACAGATCATGAGCCAGATCTGCAATGCCTTCACATGCTCCTTTCCTATGTCCCTGGACTTACCATTCCAGACCATATCTACCTAGAACAGTTACCTAGAACATGTCTACCTAGAACCTGGCATCTCTGCGTCTCTTATGAGCGAGCATCACCAACTCAGTGTCAGTTGAGGAAGCTGAAATTTTGTCCAGAGATGAAATATTTTAGACCTCTAGCAATAGAATTTTCTGTTTAAATGCAGGCACAGTGTGAAAGAAGATGAGAGCTGTGTTAACACTTGAACTGTTCTTCTTTCAAGAGCTTAATCAAAGGAGTTAAAATGATTTCCTTTCATTGTGTTTTAGGAGAAAACGCAGGACAGACACCCATGAACATCAATCCTCAGCAGACTCGTTTTCCTGATTTTCTTGACTGTCTTCCAGGAACAAATGTTGACCTAGGAACTTTGGAATCTGAAGATCTGATTCCCCTTTTCAATGATGTAGAGTCTGCTCTGAACAAAAGCGAGCCCTTTCTAACCTGGCTGTAATCAGTACCATTGTAACGGGTGCAGCCATGACCTGACATTTCCTGGGCCCCTTGGAAAAAGCGATGGAGCAGAGCAAGTCTGCAGGTGTACCACTTTCTGCCTTCATGACTCATGCTCCCTCTTTTCCATGTGGCAGATTTAATCATTGCCTGGATTTGATTGACAGTAACTTAAGTTAAACATAAATAAATATTCTATTTTCATGTTATGCAAGCCTGCATTCCTGTGGTGGGTTATGCAGAATTGCTTCTCTGTTTTTCTCTCTGTGGCCCCATGACTAAGCTTTATGGGTTTTAGTTGAAATTTATACATGAATTGATTATAAACTATAAAAAGCTGACCACAGGCAGTGACCTCTGACAGGTGTCTCGGTCCAGGAAATGTACACAAAATTAGACCTGATTTGCAGTTTCAAAAACTGTATTGATGACAGTAGTACCAAATGCTTTAAGTATTTAACCCGAGCTTTAAAAATCATTGTATGGATAGTAAAATTCTGCTGTATGGAATACAATGTAGTTTTGAATCCATGCTGGTTCTGATGATTCTTGTTACTCTGTATTTACAAAGGCACACACAATCCTGTTGTAGTTTGTTCTCCATCATCTTACCGCAGAACATCTAGACAACTAGTCCTTCCAGCGGGAGAACATTAGTCACAGCTCCTACACTACAGGTCTTCTGCAACAGACCAGTTTGGTACTAATTATAAGCATCTATTAAACAAAACTTTTTAAAATTGCAAGTTGGATTAAAAAAAAATGCAGCTTAGAATTTGATGTTTATTTTATAAAGCACTATAATTTTGTAGCTGACAACAAAGGGCAGCCAAACTTTTTTAATAAATCAGTGGCGACTATATTTTTGTCTTTTGAAACTTCTGAAAATATCAGGACAACATACCTTTCGACCTGGTGGCACACACAGTAAGCTGTTGCTTTTTAAATCTGAAGCCTTGTTAGTTTTGCTTTCAAGATTTCAAGTGTTTAAAATAGTCTTATCTATGAAACTGTTTGAAAGATGAAGCAGAACCCTGACTGATATGTAAAAAAAATGCCCTCTGAGGGTGTATGGTGGAGACATATGTTTCTGAATTCAGTAAAATTGATTCTTAAGTATATTATTCTAACCCTGTTTGCACAGTTGGTATAAAAAGGCATGAAATATGTACTCAATACCTCTTATGTAACCAAAAATTTTTTTTTTTTATTAACTTTTAAGGACTGAGAGAGAGCATCAGGTTCACCTGGCGTGCACTCTGCCTGCATTGCCAATGAAGTCCTCAACTGTTTAATGTTTTCAACTGACATTATTTATAACTTATGAATTTAATATCTTTTAAAAAAGACATTAATAATTCAGGTCTCTGGGAGGAGCCTTTCAATTCCCAAGGGAGGCTTATTTGTTCGGGATCTGAAGATCTTTTTGATCTATCAAATGCAGATGAGCAGAATACATTTTATCTTGTTGGAAGGAAGGCAAGTGAAAAGGTCAGAGATGAAGTAGTAAAGTTATGGAATATAGTGGAAAGGACGCTAGTTGTGAAGTGGAAATAGACATTATAGTACCCCCAAAGCAAGACAAGCAGGAACAAAATACCAATTTTCTGCTACAACATTTATAGCAAAAGAGTGTTGTGGAAGAAAAGAAGGCTCTGGTGCACTTTAGGTGGGTGAAGGAGGGGCAGGCGGTGTTGGCCTGTCCGCGCTGACACCGAGCATTGGGCAGACGAGAGCATACGCCTGCTGTTGCTTCCAACACAATGCAGTGACTTCTTTTTCCTGAAAGAAATGTTCCTCTGATTCCTTTTCTCTCTCTGGGTGCTCTAGAGGGAACGGGGTGATGTTTATGTTGCTACTAAATTGAAGGGCGCACTATTTCTTTTTCTCTTTTGTTAGCAATAATTGCAGAAAGAGTTGTACATTCTTTCTAAGGAAAAAAAACAAGGGACCTAACAAAACTGAGCAGTGTTACTGTATTTTTAAAAAATATTTTTATAGACTCATTTTCAGGTTATTAAACGTAAAAGAAACAGATACCCCTCTTTTTTTTTTTTAAAGTAGTTAAAACATCAGTGGTTTGTAGTATCAATTTTTAGAAGTAATTTCCTAGGAAGCTTGTGGCATTAGAAAATATTAGAATCTTTTTAGTAAAATTAGTTGAAACATTTATTAATGAACATAACAAATATTTTTCCAGAATTAAATATGGACCCTGATTATGTGTTTACTAATACATAAAGCTAGATATAATTTTTTTGTGTTTGTTTTTAAGGCCACAAAATATGGCCTTTATTAAAGAACACTAAATCTAGATATCTAAGTAAGAACAACTTTTTAAAGACTATTTCCTATTATTGTAAGTGTTAAAATCCCTGCAGAATCATGATAAGGTGCTATTTATACTGTTTTTCTTATTATAGAACAACTGCCAGGATATCTAGTCTTTTTAGTCCAAATCAATCAATAGATTTCAACATTTCATCCAATAGTTTTACCATAGAAAAGGCATATTAAAAATTGAAATTGAAAAAATAATTTCAGAGATCTTTTTTTCAAGGTATGTTTTTTTCCTGATAAAACACATTTTCTTGAAGTAAATACATTGTCAGAACCTATTTGCAACTCTATTAAATCTAAGTAATTCTTAATGTTTCACCATAATACTTAGGATGTGAAATGCCATCTCTTTCACTGATCATACAATATAGGAGAAGCACATAAAAACGGTGTGCTGGGGTGCTGTTCCCCAGTGCGAGAGAAAAGCTCTCTGTGGAAGGTGAACTGGAGTGAGAGAAGTGTTGCTAATTACCAGTTGTGTTCTCATGACATAATTAGAAAGTAACTTTTGAAAGTACAAGTATGAAAAAAATGAGTTGTTAAAAAAATAGAAAATTGTAAATTAATTTAATTGAGAAAATGGACAATTGACGGAGACTGTTTCCCTAACACACTACATCATTTATGTGCTAGTACTTTAACTTAAAAAAAAATTTACTCCTACATTTTTTAAATATGACATATGTGTGTTTATTTTTAATTTAGAATGCTATGCGTGCAGAAAGTATGCTGCCAGATCAGTCATATCAAACTATTTTACCTGGAGTTTGGTACTGGTTTTTACATCTCTGATTCTGTGTAAGAAAAATAAATACAGTTGAATTTTCACTTGGAACCTTTGTCTTTTTATTATTTGCTTGTGTTCCTTTTACTAAGGGCTTTGGGTGGTACTGAAGAGAGGCTTATGTAACCCTCCTGGCAGAGAATGAAAGAAAGAAAATTTCATAGGCAAACTTTTTTTTTTGGCTCAGATTTGGCCTGGTTCTTCAATATTCTAAATAACAACAGAATTTTGGTTTCTACTTTATTTGAAGTGAACCACTGAGATTTTAAAAAGTGAATGTATGTTTTTAAAAGTGAATATACATATATATACACACACATATATAGATACACACACACACACTTTAAAAATCACACTGTCCTTCCAACACCCACAGATTTAACTGAGACATCAGAACTATAAGATTCTCAGTCTTTCCTGTATTATTAACAATATGGTGTAGCTTCTTGTCAAAACTAAAAAGAGCTCATCATTCATTCTGAGTGTGCTTGTGATAGTGTATTTTCTCTGTTGAGTCCCTTGATTCTCACTGTCGTGATACCTTTGTCACTGCACGGAAACATTAGGTAAGAGCACTCTTAGTAGAAGAGTGTTTTTCAACAGAAGCATTCAGCTAAAAAGCTGAAAGAAGAGATGCTGATGGAGACATGACCAACATTCCAGGGTCTAAGTCTCTTGTGAATCATTTTAAAAACCATATTTCATCATCGTTTTTAAGATAACGTGCTCATTGTTGAAAGTGTTATAAATCGCAGCATGTATAAAGTAAAAAGTAAAAGTTGTCTATTCCCTAAATCTCACATTAAAAAAAAAAGTATGTTAGATGTTTTTCATATAGTATAAGTTAAATTTCTTAACAAAAGGAAAGCAAGTATACATGCTATTTAGAAGCTTTCATTTTTTCTCTTAATAATAACAATGATATTGCCAATATTTATTGAGTATTTACTATGTGCCAGGCACTATGCAAAAACATTTGAGAGCTCTATTATCTAATTTAATCTGCACAGTGAAATTATTATTATTACTTCAATGATATTGTCCTTACTTTACAGATGTAGAAATTGAGGTTTGGAGAGGATAAGTAACTTATATAAGGTCACATAGTAAGCAACAGATGTATCTAATATTTGATGGTCATCTTTCCATGCCAGTACATGTAGTCGTATACTTCATTTGTTTTTAACAACAAATAGTATTTTTTGTATGGGTGTCCCTTACCAGTAACCAGTGGGTAGTTTTTAATTTTTGCCTTACAAATGGTACTGTAGGAAACAGCTTTTTATTGTATGAATATGACTAGAGGATAAATTCCTAGGAAAAAAATCACTACTTCTAAAGGTGTGTGATCTTACATTTTGATAGATTCTGCCAAATTTTTTTCAAAAAAGGACCTATCAGTTTATATTGCCAAACTTCAAACAGCAATGTATGCAAAGGCCTACTTCATTATTGTCAACCTAAAGCTAGATATTGCCTAATTCTTTTTTTAAATGAATTTTACAACAAACATGCAGTTTCAAAAAATTGTCAAATTTGATTTGTGTAAACATTAACCTTTTTTTTTTTTTATTATTTCCCCAGCTTTTACATTCCACAAAATATTTGGGAAGATATGTGGAATATGTAAAAATAAAGTTCAAAATTGAATGAAAAATAATTTTCTATTCTAGCAATAATATACAATACAAATGAGTTTTGTTTTTTTCCAGCTTTATTGATATGGACATATAACATTGTATTTAAGTTGTACAACACTGAGTTTATATATGTATATATTACAAAATGATTACCACAATAGTTGTCACATGCATCACTCACATAGTTGCAATTTTCTTTTTTTGTGGTGAGAATGTTTGTCTAACTCTTAAATCTTTGTAAATACAGGAAAAAAATCTTACTGTTATAGTTTCCATTTCTTGAATGAATAATGAAATTGAATGATCTTTTCATAACACTATTGTCTATAGTACATGATGTCAGTTCTCCATCCAGATCACCTTCAATTCCTTTTTATTGTTTTTGTTCCCCACACCACCTACCCTGGTATATTTTTGCTTTTAACAGCTAACACCTGTGGCTCTTTTCAAAAGGAGTGCTAGAGTCACTTTGCCACCCACACACCCAGAGAGCTAGAAACGGAATTTACATCCTACAACATGACCTTTAGTCAGTGATAGATGGGAGTGTAAGAATCCAGAATCCCTGTGGGATCAGGCAGAGACCACCTTCTGTGGGATTTTGCCTAAGGCCATATCCTTGCTTTGTTTCCAATCCTTTCCTGTCTAGCTTCACCCACGCTTTTACTAGTTTCCCCTAAAAATATCTACTTCCTTGATAAATAATTCTTAAATAATGCTTCTTTAAAAATCACTTGTAATTGAGAGGCTTGTCTGCTTTTGCTGCGGGGAATCCTGCAGCAAGTCAGGAGACTTGGCTAGTCTCCTGGGGGATGGGAGACTGTGTGGAGCTGGGACAAGCTGTTTTAGCTGAGCGCTCTTGCACTCACCAGTCTGCCAACCTGCTTAACGTGAATGAGAGCTCTAGCCGACCCACCTGCTGGCCACAGGAGGAACCAGCTGGCTCAGGTCAAAGAATTGCACAGCTGAACCACAGAATCGTAAATGAAATAAAATGCCCTTTGGTACCTTGTTGACCAGTCCGGTCCTGATTTCCTCCATCACATGTAACAAAAATGGTTAGATATGAACATGAAGTGATGATGGTGACAGCTTGACTAGTTTATGCGCAAAACACATTGCCTGGGTGCCATGCCTGCACCAGACAGCCACACCAGGACCAGCTCTGCTCCCCAGGGTCAAAGTCCACCTGCTCCTGGATCCTGGTTTCACCTCCATGGATACTAGCTTGAAATGTGACTGACTTGGTGACAAGAGCTGTCATCTTCATTCATTTACCAAACATGTTCTAAGCAACTTCTTTTGTTCAGGGCACTGTTTGTCACCTTTATTTGAAGAATATCCTGGAAGATAAATTACTTTAGCAATTTCTTAACTGCCAGAACTCCATCTTGGCTAAGAACTTAACACTGCATCTCACCTAAAAATCAAAAACAACTCTAACGTCATCACTCCCACTTGGTGCTACTCTAAAACCATTGGGCTGCTAAGGTGAGCCATCTTCAATGCTCACTGAGCATTCAGGGCTAGTATTCTGAATCCTTCTGACAGTTTATGGTTGGAACTGAGGGAGTGGGTCACCCTGGCTCAAACCCAGTACTCTGGACATCAGGTGGAGCCATGCCTCTTCCTTCTGATTCTGTAAAGCATGAGAAATACTCTTCTTCCATAAGTGCTGACCCTGTCAGAAAGAACAGCTCCAAGGAGGAGCACCATAATACCAACGACAGTCCACGGTTCAGAGAAATGAGTTTGGATCCTAGTGCTACCACTTACCTATGCTATGACCTTGCACAAACGACTGTGTCCTCCTGTGGAAATAGTGAGAAACCCCAGCCCAAGATAGTGGTGAAGTGTCACTGTACCTGCAAATAATAAGTACCCAATAAATACCCATTATACAATTTAGAAAATGAAGAACAACATTCATTTTTGGAAAATATTTATTAAAAAAAACTAAGCGAATGTGGCAAAAAACAAGACAAAACAAAAACCCAGACATACCTTTAAACAGCAAGCATATGACACTGGATATAAAGCTTTCCCAGCTCTACTGATCTGATCTAGTTTGTCCCACCATCTACAGTCAAGAAGAGAAGCCACATGTAAACAGGTCATCTGTACCAGTGATGAGCAAAAACTAATTACATGAGAACTATCAATGGCCATAAAACTCTCTTTCCTAGGCAAACCACCCCAAACACAAGAGAGGGACCAAGCTTTAGGAATGTGCTCTGGGGATCTGTAGTTCTGATTTAAATTTGTGGGCGGAGGGCTGTTGGGGGATGAAATAGTAGAAAGACAAATAGTATCAGTATTGGGCAATCTTAAAGTATCTTTAAAATCTGGACTTTACCCACAATTTAACCTAGTAATTCTCAAATTTTACTGTTGAAAAGAATCACCTGATGAGATTGTTAAATTCACAGACTCCAAATCTGTATGTCTAAGATGATTACTCCAGGTGACTCTATGCATATTGGTTAGCCTTACAGTTTGAAAAACAGTTTAAAATGAATTAAAACAATTCCTACTCCCTAAACACAAAAGTAAAGTTAATCTGCTGACAATCATTGTGCTTTTGTTAACTTAGAGAGACCAACATAGGGAGGCGGGCAGGAAAGACCCTCCAGTTTCTAACAAATTGGTCTACAGGAGCCCTGAGCAACCTGTCAAGTGCTGTTCAGGGAGTAAAATTTAACAATTGAGTTGATTTTAGCTCACAGAACAGCCTCCGAATGACCAATAGGCTAACCCCATTCATTCCAGTTTAGTGAACTCTGTTGGTCCAATGCCAGATGGGAAGCTGCTGTTCAAACAGATCACAGAGTGGCTGAGGACTTTGACTTGTAAAGACATAGTGAATAAAACATCAATAAAAACTTTATTAACCACAGAGCACTATGCCCAAATAATTTCAGTGCATCAGGGACAGCATTTTGAAATAGTCATATTGATCCCAAGGTTCTTGATATCTGCAAAAAGATGTGCTATGGCTGTGTCAAAAACCAGGCAGTCGCTGTTCATGATGGCTGCAGCCACACCGTTGTGGATGGACCGGGGCGTGGCCTCCCAGGTCAGTCTGCGCCGGTTCCCATTCAATTCCAGCCTGTAGGCGAAGTTCTCAGCCTGCTTGCTGCAGGTGCCAATGAGCAGAACAATGGCGAAAAGCTGCTGGTGGCCTTCATACTTCTCTTGTTTCTCCAGCACCAGCATGAAGTGATGGCCAAAACATGACTGCATCATCACCCAGTTGACAGCCCCTGGCAGGTTAATGTCTGTAGCTAGAAACACGATGTCTTCTTTCTGAAGGTTGGTGATGCTCTTGTGGGCATGCATGAGATGGGACATCACGGCTTCCAGGGATCCCTGCCACTCGCAGGAAGTACCAGGACAAGGGCAGGAGTAAGGGCAGTACTCACAGATGTCTTCATGTTCTGGCTTCTCCGTGTGGTACAGGGTCAGGGGACAGCCCATGGTGGCATACTGCAAGGAGGAAAGAAACACGTTGAGCCATCAGGTATTCTGAAAACTTCTACTGGTGCAAACCTCTCAGAGTATTCACCCACTCAGGTTTTGAGGGGCTTAAACTATATTCTTATTCCACCTGTTTTTACTTGAGATAAATTAAATATTTAAGACTTAAAAAAAAATCATTTGTCTTTGTGTCAGGATCTGTTTCTGGGAACCAGACCAAAGATTGTATCCAGAATATACAACAAATTAAGGTAAAGCAATAAAAATAGTTCAATAGAAATATGAGCCAAGGTGGCAAATAATTTGCCAACTTCATTACTAATTAGGAAAATGGAAATTAGATAATAATGACATACCATTTCACCTCTCAAACTGCAATCAAAAAGACTAACGCCAAGTGTTGGATAGGATGCGGGGAAATTGTAACAATGCACTGTTGGTGAGTGTAAATTGATACTGTTTTGTTGACCACTAGATCCCAAGTCCTGAGGGCAATACCCATTATGCAGTGGATACCCAGTAAATATTTGTTGAGTGAATTAATTTTTGGCACATTATGTTCCCCAAGGAAGTAAGTAGTTTGAGAGAGAACACTCAGAGAAGAGGGGTTGCAAAATAGGGGAGAAGGAACTTCTTAGACAATTTAATTGATTAAACAAATCTGCCACCAATCAATGGGATGACAGGTATTGCAGCCAACCATGTTCATCTAGTTGATTAATCTAGTTGATAAGTAAATCTGTCACAGGCATTGCTGCTAAACCAGTTCTGAGCTAGGACTTGTACAGTTATAGTGTCTTCAAGTTTCTTTTCTTTTTCCTTCCTTCCTTCCTTCCTTCTTTCTTTTTTTCTTTCTTTCTTTCTTTCTTTCTCTCTCTCTCTCTCTCTCTCTCTCTCTCTCTCTCTCTCTCTCTCTCTCTCTCTCTCTCTCTCTCTCTCTCTCTCTCTCTCTCTCTCTCTCTCTCTCTCTCTCTCTCTCTCTCTCTCTCTCTCTCTCTCTCTCTCTCTCTCTCTCTCTCTCTCTCTCTCTCTCTCTCTCTCTCTCTCTCTCTCTCTCTCTCTCTCTCTCTCTCTCTCTCTCTCTCTCTCTCTCTCTCTCTCTCTCTCTCTCTCTCTCTCTCTCTCTTTCTTTCTTTCTTTCTCTTTCTCTTTCTTTCTTTCTCTTTCGTCTTTTTCTTCTCTCTCTCTCTCTCTCCCCCTCTCTCTTTTGGATTGCAATCTATTGAAATTCATGTATTGGCATTTTCCATGAAAAATTGTAACCACTACACTTTTGGTTTTCCCCAGAGGCACTGGTTTTTTGAAGATATGATTAAATATTGTGTGGACATCATAGCCCCTGGATGTATAATTTACTTGGTGCCCACTGAGAGCACATATGATGGCATTGTAGGTATTAGTTTAAAATCTGGAGAAGTTGTGACATCTGCCTAGCTGCCCAGAATAGACAAATATATGTAATGTATTAAAATGAATATAGATTCAAGATCAGACACATTACATCATATTTGGAAGACTTTTTGGAAGAGTTTCAGGTCACTAGATTGAGATGGATCTATGAATTCTGGCCCTAAATAAGAATGAATTTGTTTCAGGGATACCCCAGAAGATCTGGTATATTCAAGCCCTCAAAGCAGAGCTCCTTAGAACTTTTACTGGAATGCCCCCAAATTTCAATATTCATCAACAGTTAACAAGTGTGTTATATTTTTTTCATGGTCTCTGAAGGACTTGAGAAACCGATCAAAGCTTTGTGTGTTGTTTGTAGTTAATGCTCATACATACATTTACATGAATTCCAGATGGCTCATAAACTCGCCGAAGCCCTTCTAGTGACCATAGACTCTGCAGCTTTTTCCCACAGATGTCCTTTGAAATAGGTCCCTTGTGAATTAAAAGTGTGAGTTGATAAAGCCTTAAACTATAGTTAGCAGAGATGTATAAGTTGTGCTTAGAAATGTTCATTTGTAGGGGTCACAGAGTTTACCATAGAATTTTATATGTCTTAAATGGACTCTTCTGCTTGTAAGTCCTTAGGTCATACCATTAATTGAACAAAGTGATGCATGCCTCATATGTTTGCAGTTTGAGGACCATAAATAGAGGGGGCCAATTGTTCTGGCTGGCCTTGGAAAGAAGAGTTTCCCAATTTGGGGGAATTTCAGTGTTAAAATTGGGAAGTTCCAGCAAACTGGGAGAAGTTGGGAATAATGCACCATGTACTTACTGGCAGGACTGGCTACATAATGTGTGGGACCCAGCATAAAATGAAAATATGGGGTGCCTTCCAATTTATTAAGAATTTCATGATGGGGCATTAGAGCATTAAACCAAGTGTGGGGCTATTTTGAATGGGGGAAAGGGGACTGTGTGACTACATGAGAAACGCGTCCATGAAGCCATCCTGAAAATCAAAGGATTTTATGTGCTGATATATCTCTTTGTAAGAACAAGAAAGAAGGAGCTTCATAGAAAAAAATAATAATTACAAGAATTAAGCCAAGAAATTATTAGCATTTTCTCCTAAAATGTTTCCCACCAGATATTCCAGGTAGCAGATTGTGTTTTCAGGAATAGGAGAGAGTTTGGTGCATATGAGGCCTTTGACCCTAAGCCAGATTTGGTTTTCCCCAAGGATGCCAAAGAATGTAAGACTCTTAGGACCTTCCTTGATAACTCTCAACATTCTCAGGGTCACTAATATCAACAACCAGCAAATATATATTAAACTTGTTCATTCATTCATTTATTCATTCATCCATCCATCACCCTGTACTTGCTGAGCCCCTGCCATGTTGAAAGCACTAAATGGGCTTTGGAAATACAAAGATGAAGAAAACTCAATCCTTTTTGAGCTTACTGTTTAATCAGGACCATGTATTATGGGACAAGGAGTAATGGTGAAGAGGAATTTTTCACTCAAATGGCTGACCTTATAATCAGCTCTTTGTTCTGCTTCTGTAGACATGCTAGCCGCATAGGCCGAAGGGCAGGGTGACCTTGAAATTAACTAAAGACTCATCCTCCCTTTTGCTTGTTCTGTCTAGATAGATTTTTTTTATATATATTGCTTGAATTCTTGTCTGAAAATCTCCTGCTTTGTTATTCTTTGTAACTGCCTATAACCCATAGCAACTCCCACACTTTGTAACTCTTTGTAACTGCCTGAGGACAAATTAACCAATCAACCCATGCCAACTGGCCAAACGTAACTGCACGGATAAGCCCTATAAAAGCAAAATTGCATCTGATCTTCAGAGATGCTATCAGATCTTCAAAGCGCTACCTCTTCTGGGACCACTGGCATAATAAACCCGAGTTCTCCAACTCTCTGAATAGTGCTTGGTTTCTTGCGGGTATGATTTTGCAACAATCCCGCAATAATGGGAGCTCAAGATAAGGAAGAATGAAGAAAAGAAAACAACTTCAAGTAGGCCATGGTGTCTGAGCTCTAGCTTCAAGGAGTTTCCCAGGCATTTCAGGTAAAGGAAATAGCATATATGAAAGCACAAGATTTTGTAAGAGGAGTGATGAGAAGATCCATGGCCCCCTCAGGAGAGTGTGTATGTGTGTGTCAGGGGAGGGGACAATGAGGCAGGAGGTGAAGCCCCATAAAATAGAGAATACTTTATTGAGAATAATCCTTGAAGGAGCTCATATCCTACATAACGGAAGCCCTGAGAAGATTTCCAATAAGTAGAGTGGCCTAAGGAAAACAAGCAGAGAAGTGAAGAGGTACCAAATTGGAGAGCAGTTGGTGGCCTTCCCTGAGTACAAAGGCCTATTTGGTGCTATGAGGGCCGGAAGAAGTTAAAATCATGGCCTCTGCCTCCAAAAAGATAATGTAGTATTATGTACTGAGCATCAAGTGGATGCTAATATAATTCTGGAGAGAGGGTGGGTCATTTGGGGCTTGGTGATGAGGTAGGACCAGGGGAACAGGAAAAGCATTCTGGGAACTGGGAACTGTTAAACAAAGACATAGAAGTGAAAATGGAAGGCAAACAATATGTAATGACAACCTACTGTGTTCCAGGAACTAGTTATTGTATAGTAAGTACGTGCACGAGTGTGTGCGCACGTGCGTTTATTGGAATAACATTACTCTTTTAGAGTCATTTAGGCAGAATTGACATCTTTATAATATTGAGTCTTTTTATTCAGTTCAATCTGTTTTCTCAGCATACTTTCCTCAAAGTATGAGAGTTGAAGATGGTCAGACAACAAGGAAACAAATAAATAATTAACCCCCACCCCTAAACTTCAGTGTTGTAATTTAGGCACTAACTCCAGCTCTATCAGAAATGACAGATATAATTGTCATCTCTGAAATTCACTTAATCTTTCTTGGTCTCATTTCCTATTCTTCTTATCTATAAAACACTCACTTTTTCATGGTACTAAAATTCTCCTATTCCATAGATTTTCTCAGTGTCTGGACAAATCTACATTTAGGAATAGATGAATTTGTGCCTTGCACACAAACACTCTTTTTCTTATAACATTTTTGAGAGTACAATCATTATGAGACTGGAAGATGAGAAACTGATATTTTAACTATGACTCTAATCTCTGTAAATGAGATAATTTCAGCAAGCATATTCTTCACTGCCCAACTAGAAGGCCTGACATTTCCATGGCTAGGATTAGGGACTGTTTCTAGAAAAAATTGCCACTCAAAGATGTTATCTGGATAACAATAACTTGACTAATTAGGCTATAAATGGAATAAATTAATTTGTAAGATTAGCAGAGATTAACAGCCACTAGTCCCTAGCATTCTAGAAAGAGAATCCATTTATGGAATTAGCGTGGGGTAACATAAGATTTTCAGAGAATGAGAAGAAGGTAAAACATTAATTGGGAAAGCTGAGGACTGGCATATTCCACGAAGCTTTGCAAGTTCTGGCGAAGGTGGGTGTGTGAACATTAAGAAAAGGCAGGCGTGGGCCTTCTCCTTTTCAAATTTGTCCCAGGATTTGTTCCTACAACCACCTAAGAAGTTCTGTGCAGTGCAGCTATTAATTAGCACCTTGGCCAAGTTACTTAAAGTTTTGGAACTTCAGTTTCTTTACATGTAAAACTGGCAATAATGATGATGGTGATGATGATAAATACAATGAAAGAGTGGTAAAGATTAGGAGAAGTGACTTATGCAGAACACCAGCAACTCATAGGTGGTCAATAAAGGTTCATGTTCTGCCTTTTTGTGAACTTTTCCCTCTCTTCTTCCCAGGCTACATCCACCGCCCCCGCCCCTACCCCCACAGCACTTAACACCATCTGCAAATAAGATATAATTCTTCATTGTCTCTTCTCATTAGCCTGTGAGTATTGTGAGAGCAGGAATTTTTGTTTGTTTTTTATTAACACCTTGAATGATGCCTACTACACTGTTCCAAATTTTTTCAAAATATTTATTGAATGAATGAATGTGTTTGTGGGAATATCATCTTTTGAAATGTTGTAGAAAAGATCCAAAATCAAACCAGTGAGAAACCAAGCAGCATTCAGAGAGTTGGAGAACTCAGGTTTATTATGCCAGAGGACCCAGAAGAGCTAGTGCTCTGAAGATCTGGGCCTGGAGCTCAGTTGCAACATCCCTTATATAGACCTGTTTTGGCACAGGCTGATTGGTTGATTTGTCCTCAGACCGTTACAATGTGGTGAGAATTGCTATGGTTGTAGGTGTTACACGGCGGGGTGTTGCTATTGGTTACCGGCAGTTATAAAGTGTTACAAAAGCACAGGGGGTACAAACAGTTATATTTGTTGCTCAAACAAAAGGGAATGTAAGCCTTTAGCCAATTTCAAGTACAGCCCATGCAGCAAGCATATTTACAGAAGTGGAACAGAGAGCTGATTAGCCTTTTGAATGAAAATTCCTCTTCATTCTCCCGTTTTGATGCCCATTTAAATTCTTATAGGACATCAGCCTCTTGATCTCCTGCCTGATCTCCCTGAGCCAGGGACTGGTAATTCCACAGCATAAGGAGCTTTGCTGCCGTCTTTCTCTCCACTATAGCCTCTATGAGGAAGGTAATCGACCAGACAACAAAAGGCAACAGACAAGGGAGAAGGAGGCAGGCCCCGAGGAGGAGGGGTACTATCTCAATTAAGGTTTTAAAGCCTCCGAAGGTAGAGAACCATCCCCCCAAAAGCTGTTGGGGTTCCATCCGTGCTGTACTTGCATGGGCACATGTGCCAGCTTTGTCATTTTTTTTGACAAAATTCTCAATTGCCTGGCCCTGGTCATCTATCTGTAGGCAACAGTTGGTGAGATTGAATTTTTCACAGACGTCTCCTTCTGCTGCTAATAGATAGTCTACTGCTAACCTGTTTTGGTAGATGGCATTTCTCATCTGAGTCTGTTGATGTGCAAGGAGTGTCAGGGCTCTCCCAGTCTCGTTAGTAATGATTTCTAAGACTGCCTGCAGTTGGATAATCTGGTTTAACATGTAAATGGGAGGTATGGTATCCCTAAGATCCATCTTCTGCTCAAGTGGCAGGCCCATAGTATTGAATTATTCACTCTAGGGGCCATTCATCGTCTTTCCAGTTCCTTATTTGGAGTTGTCTTTTTACTCATTGTAAGAGTTGTGGGACTGGGTAACAAAGCAGTTCCCCTGTTTTCAGAGGTAAGAGGAAAAAGGAAGCCTTTATCATGCCGATTATACAGCTCCCTTCCTAATTTTGGGGGAGGCAGATGTAGGCCTTGTTTCCACAAATCCAGTAAAGCCCATGTGGGGCTATCCAGTCTCGGACCCTGCCTGGGTCTTGTTAGGCTCTAGTTAGCTCTGGGAATCTGGCCAATGGATTTCTCTCTGTCCTGTTTCCCCACTACATGCTTTGTTTGGAGGTGGAATTATATTATCATTGGCCTAGGCAAATTAAGTTTCTGACTGACTCTGTGAGATTTCATCCACCTCTAGCCAGGCGGTATTGTCCTATAATAGTATTGTTTAAAATCCTTTGACCATCATCAGAGGTGCATGGGGCTGTTATATTTGGCATTGCTTTCGTGGGAACTAAAGCTTCCCACGGCCTCCTATCCCCCATTAGAGTTCCCCCACATACATAGCAGGAGGTGACATTCAGGGAGTGAGCTATTCCTTCAGCCATTTTGAGAAATAAGTTTTCAGTCGATTGTGGTGGGGTGGCGGGGTAGGGGTTCAGTTACTTCCTTGTAGAAAGATTTGTAAACCTGAAAGTCTTGAGCTGGATGATCTAGTACTTGACCTTTGATACGAATTTGAACATAGGGATTTAACCCCGTCCCATCAATGCCAAATGTTAATACTTCTCTGGACTTATGTGTGGTGCAATTTGATAGAACTACCCCCTTTTTCAAATACACCTCTTTCTTGGTGGTGGTGTCTTTTTCCCAAGTAGCACATAGGACACATGACCTATAGACACAGCTTCTTTCACATGTGAAGCTGTGAGGACATATATACCTTTCTTCTGTCCTGTAGCTTTTTTCCCAGCTGAGAGATCTGCAGGATCTTCCTTCCTCCCATTGGCCCTGACTCACAGCAGCACAAGCATCAAACTTTAGGGGAATCTGACTGGGATTCCCTTTTACTCTAGTCTGAGCCAACACACATCCATCTGTCCATCCTCCCCAGTCCCCTAAAGCTACCCTTATTTCAAAAACTGTTTCAGTGAGAGGGTCATTGGGTTATAACATACATAAGGTTGGTTATTTCCTGGGTCACGTTTCTGAGTTCCCCGGCATTCATAGTAGCTATAGAAAAGTAAGGTAGTGGAAATTCTTTGACCTTCCTTGGTGACATGAATACATAGTTCACAGTTCTCTGCCTTAATTTCCCTCCCTTCCCAGGGTCCAATTATAAAGAGCTCCATGATGAGATTCCTCAGGCTTTGGCCATGCATGGACCAGCCAGCTTCTAGTTGGTGGCTGGAGCAGGGCATATTGTCTTTCTCAGGGTCAACTTACAAGGGTTGATGGGATCTGTCTGTGCCATCCATGAAGGAGTTTTTGTAGGAGCTGCCAGTTTCAGCCGACTGAGGCGAACATCTGGACAGTCTGGACAGTCGATCCTCAAGCTTCTGCCATGCATAGACTGGCCAGTTTCTAGGGGTGGTCAGAGCAGGGCCAAAAATCTCAGGTGGATTTCTGCTGCCTCCGGAACGTGACTCAGGATGGCTAATCAGGAAGAAGCTCTGCAGTCCAAGTCTCCCGCTTTTCTGGAGGTGCTGCTCTCTTTACCCGGGTGTGGTGGATCCAAGGGATGATACCTGCAACTTTAATAGCAATGGGAGTTGTAATATAACAGTGTGAGGGCCTGTCCAGCTCAGCTAGAGCAGCTCCTTCTTCTATTCTTTAACCTATACTTCATTTCCTTGCTGAAAGGAGATGGACCCAATTCCCTAAAGGGATAGGAGCTCTTTCTAAAGTTTCCTGAGCGATGTGGCGGAGGATCCTCCCTAAGATCTGAAGGTGTTGGGACATGTGTAGGGCAGTCATTAATCGAGGGTCTCTTTTTAACTTCCCTATCACTGGGAGAGGTCTCCTGTAAAGAATTTTGAAAGAGGAGTAGCCTGAAGGCCTTGGGGTGCATTGCATTCAGAGCAGAGCCAAAGGCAGCAAATCAATCTAATATAACTGGGTTTTCTGACAAAGCTTAACTAGAGTGGTTTTGAGGGTCCGGGTCATGTGTTCAATTTTCCCTGAACTCTGTGGCCTGTTGGCCATGTGGAGCTTCCATTTGATTCCTAGAGCTTTGGACAAGGTCTGGCCTATCACAGACACAAAGGCAGGTCAATTGTCTGATCCTATAGAGAAGGATAGCCTGTATCTTGAAACAATTTCCTTCGATAAGGCCCTGGCTACTTCTTGTGCCCATTTAGTGTGCATAGGAAAGGCTTCAACCCATCTGGAGTAGGTGCAAACCAACACAAGCAAGTATCTATGGCCCTAGCAGGGCTTGAACTCGGCAAAGTCCACTTTTAGGTCTTCGAATGGCATAGTTCCAATTGTTTGCACCCCTGGATTAGATCTTAATCTTTGGCCAGTGTTGTTTCATGCACAAGTCACACACCTAGCATGATCTGGGCACACAGGGTTGGGAGTTTGGGTATGAAATAGTAGCGGCTCACCGGGCTTTCTAAAGAAGGCTTCCCTAGGTGAGTTAATTCATGGTGTTGAATTGCTGAACTGCCAGTGCAGTGAGAATAAAGAGTCTCTGATCTGGAAGCTCTCATTAGCCCTCCTTTCTCCTGGTTCCCCCTTTACTCAAAGCCCATTGTTCTTCTTCCTTAGTGTATTTTGGGGATAGAGGCAATTCTGGTGCCAGGAGAACGTTGGAGCTTGGCTTAGGACCTGTTGTGGCACTTGGTTGGTGGGCAGCCTCCTTAGCTGCTTGGTCTGCTAGTTGGTTTCCCCTACTGACAGAGTCTGTTCTTCTCTGGTGGCCTTTGCTGTGAATGACTGACATTTTTGAAGGCTTCCAGATTTCCTCTAGCAGTTGGAGGATTTCTTCTTTGTTCTTGATCTCTTTTCCTCCCGATGTCAGTAATGCCCTCTCTTTATAAATGGCCCCTTGTATGTGCAAGGTAGCAAAGGCATATCTTGAGTTGGTGTAGATATTGGCCTGTTTCCTTTCAGCCTGTCACAGTGCCTGGATGAGTACCCATAGTTTGGCCTGCTGTGCTGACCAGCCCTGTGGCAGAGCTTCAGCTCTGATTACCTTATCGGTAGCTGTGATTGCATAGCCAGCTTTGCGCTGTCCTTCATGGATGAAGCTGTTCCCATCTGTGAACAATACCAGTTCTGGGTTCCGAAGAAAAACTTCCTTCAGGTTCGGCCTGCTTGGGTAAACTTTGTTTGTGCCTTCCTCACAATTGTGGTCAGGAGGCCCCTCCTTAGTGGGCAGAAATGTAGCAGGGTTCAATGTACGTACAGTTTCTAGGTGGACTTGCGAATTTTTGCAAAGCAGTCCCTGATAATAAGTTATTCTGGCATTGGTCAGCCATTTATATCCTTGATTATTCATTAATGCAGTTATAGCATGGGGACCTTTACATTTATATTTTTTCCCAGCTAGTCTGCTTCTCTGACTAGGATTACTGTGGCAGCTAAGGTAATCCCGCAGCCACCGGATCTAGCCATTTGGACAAATATGCAATCGGGTGCTGCCATGCCCAACTATTTGTGTGAGGACTCCCAGTGCAGTGTGACTCTTCTCATGTACAAAGAGGTTAAAGTCCTGTATCAAATCCGGTAGTCCTTATGCTGGGGCGCTGGTTAAGAGTCTCTTTATTTCTCTGAAAACTTTTTCTTATTTGGAGCCCCATTCTAGGTGGTCTTTACCAGACTCCGCTGTGGCCTCATACAGTGGCTTGGCAATCTTGGAGAAACCTGGTATCCAGATCCAATAGAATCCAGCAGCCCCTAGGAATTCACGAATCCCTTTCTTGGTGTTTGGCTGGGGTATTGAGCAGATGGGGCCAGTTTTCTTTTGCGTCCAAGTGCCCGATGTCCTTCCGAGATGATGAACCCAAGGTATCTGACCTTCTGTTTGCAGATTTGAGCCTTCTTCCATGACACCTTGTATCCCATGGTAGAAACAGGGCCAGTAAGGCTCTAGTTCCTTTCCAAAAGTCTCCTTGGGTGGGCCTAGGCAGCAGTAGGTCATCTACATACTGGAGTAATGTGCAGTTCAAAGTCTCCCCAGGGAAGGCAGCAAGATCCGCGTCCAGTGCCTCACCAAACAGAGTGGGTGAGTTCTTAAAGCCCTGTGGCCGTCTAGTCCAGGTCAGTTGCGTTTTTCTCCTGGTGTGTGGGTCTTCCCACTCGAAGGTGAACAAAGGCTGACCGGCCAGTAATAACTGGAGACTGAAGAAGGCGTCCTTAAGATCGAGGCATGTGAACCAGCTTGCTTGAGCAGGTAAGAGACTCAGGAGAGTGTACAAGTTCAGGACTACTGGATGGATGGTGACCACTGCATTGTCAATGGCATGAAGGTCCTGAACGGGGCAGTAATCTTTCCCTCCAGGCTTCTTGACCGGCAAGAGCAGAGTGTTCCAAGGTGATTGACAACTGGAATTCCAGCATCGCACAGACACTGGATGTGGTCCCAAATTCCTAGGCGTGCTTCCAGTGACACTGGATATTGCCTTTATGTGATAGGGATGGCCCCTGGTCTCAGGTCTACCATGATGAGTGCGTGATTTTTGGTTAGACTTGGCCTCCCCTTTTCTGCCCAGACAGTAAAGAACTCTTCTAGCAGACTGTTTGGATTTGTTTGTCTTTCTCCCAGAGAATAAAGACGCCATTTGTCTTCCCGAGGCACAGTCACAGCCATTATTAAAGCAGGCTGGCTCCTCAGTGTGAGGCTGGTGGGCTTCTCTAAGGTTGTTTGTGCTCCAAGCTTTGTTAATAAGTCTTTACCCAAAAGGGAAATAGGGTACTCTGGTAGGTACAAGAACTCATGAGTCACTATAGGTGGCCCCCTAACTGACATAAGCAGGCTTTACAGAACGAGCGGGTGACTTGGTCCCTCATGGCCCCAACGATAGTTGCTGTTCTATCCATAAGGAGAGCCACAGGCTTAGTTACCACAGAGTATTCAGCTCTAGTGTCCACCATAAAAGTCATTTATTGGCCCCATACTTCTATTGTGATCGTAGGCTCCTGAGGGCCTAGGATCAGGGAGCCCGGTTGTTGCTAGTCTGATTGTTCTTCAGTCTAGCCGATAAGCTCTTGGACGACTGGCTCAGGCTGGTATTTTCCTTTACAAGGTTGATTGAACTTCTTTGGCCTTTCAGGTGTTTTTCTATGATGAGTGCACTAGTTTCTACAATGGCCAGTCTCTTTGCAGTAGGTGCATTGGTCACAGCGAAGTGGGAGTCTCCTTTTGGTTTCTCTCTTCCGTGTGGGAGCAGCAGTCTGTTGTACTGGACTCGGGTTCCCTAATGCAGCTGCCAGCAGGGACGCCTTCTGTTTCATCCATTTGTCAGCTACCTTTTGGGCCTCCTAGTCATGGTTTACAAACACCTTGTTTGTGACCTCCAGCAGCTGGGTGGTGTTAATCTCAGCAAAGCCCTCTAATTTTTGAAGCTTGCAGTGGATGTCAGTGAAGGATTGGGCCACAAATGCCGCGTTGACCATGCACTGGTTCTCTTGTACTTCAGTGTCAAAAGGGGTATATACCTGGAACGCCTCGCATAGTCTCTCATAGAACTCTGTGGGTGACTCCTCTGGCCTCTGGAGTATCTCTGCCATTTTTGACATATTTGTTGGCTTCCTAGCCCCAACTTTCACCCCTTGCAGTATGGCCAGTACCTGTTGAGAGACTCTCTTCCATGTGGTACATTGAAGTCCCAACTGGACCTGGTGTCAGGCACAGTCCCTGAGGCCCATGCTGCAGAGTCTAGTACACCGTCCGGTGTTTGTCTTTGAAGCCATCCCTGTGCTTCTGACAGAATCTGGTGCCATTCTTCGGTGTTGAAGAGAGTCAGGAGGAGTTGACAGCAGTCATCCCAGGTAGGCTGATGAGTTTGGAAGATGGACTTGAACAGATCAAACATCGCCTGAGATTTCCCTGAATAGGACGGGGTGTACTGCTTCCAGTTGAGGAGGTCGGTTGTGCTGAATGGCTGATAGTAGAGGACAGGGTGGCCTGGCTGGAGTGTGCCATCTTCTCCAATCTTAAAAGGACCTTACACCTCTTGGAGGGGCATCTGAAGGGCCGCAGTTTGCTGAACTGGTTGCGTGGGCGAGGGAAGGTGCTGTGGACTTGTGCTTGGTGGTTGCTCGGGTTGTTGGGGAGGTGAAGGCATGGATAGTGGAGAGCTATCTGGCAATTCTGGGTAGAGCGGCTGGCTGTGTGGGGACTGGTGGAGTTACTGCGATGTACGGTGGTGGGAAGATAGGTTTTTCCTCAGGGTCCCCTTGATGGGTGATTTTTGCTGGTTCTCCCTTGTCCTTTCGTCTAGCCTGTTGGGCCACAAGTACCTTGCTCTCTCCTATTTGTGCAGAACTGGACTCAAGAGGGCACTATAGTAGCGATTTGCAACCATGAGTTAATGTATGGAAACTGGGCTGAATGTCCAGGGGTCCCTGTCACTACCTAGTGTATGGCTCTCACAGTGGGGAGGTCTAGGGTCCCTTCAGAGGGCCATCCTACCCCAAAGGAGGGCCATTCAAGTTCACAAAGAGTGCAAAGCTTTCCTGAGGTCAGCTTCCCATAATCCTCTGAGAAGCCTTTCTTAAAATTTTTCAACATACAATTTAAGACACTGGACTTAGAGGAACCTCCCTCCATATCTGCCTTAAAGAATTTCCTAATGGAGGAAGAAAATAGACCTTAAAATTTTAAGAAAATAATTTGACAGAGGGCCCCTATGTCAAAAGGGCCATTTTATCTCTTATCTTGAAGTTCTTGACCATCGTGGCTTTCCCTATGTACCCTCCATGTCTCCCATGACAGACAACAATCACACCACATGGAGGGTTGGGGGATAGGGTTAGGGAAACTTTGGACTGGAATCACTCGCTTTGCCCGTCTCTGGCTGCACTCCTCATGGGAATATTTCAGGTGCCTCTTAACATTGGTGCATTGGTATAAACCCCCGACCCATATCACTGGAGTAGACTCCTCACAGAGATCCAGTGACACCACCTTAAGCCGTATGATGTTCACCACGAAACCACGGATTCGGGCTCAACTCTCACTTCATGACCTTGTGGCTCAACTCTTGCTTCGTGGCAAGGTCACGTCTCAGTCTTTCAGCACTCACTCTCTTTCATACAACCTCCCACCATTCCTTAACCCTGTTCCGTGAAGAGTAAGCAGTCGCTCCCTTTAACCTGTGGAGGATGCTTGGTTACTCCTTTTGCCCAATGTTAACCAAACACATTCCACCCTGTGACAGTGATGCAATTTGGAGGGTGGGTGCTCCCTCCAAAGAAGAGACCATTCAGATGCTCATCTGGCCATGTCCCAAAGGAGCTTAGATGACGCTTAGCCGTAGTGGACTAGGCTTTGTGACTTATGTTCAGACACTAATCCAATGCTGCCCTGGACCATATATCATTCACCATGGACACTCAGAATGAGCCCACACAAACTCTGTATCATTTAGGGGACCTTAGGGTGCCCAGCCATGGAACCACAAATTCATACCTGACTGGTCAAATCGGCCAAGTCGCTTATTCACTCACTTATTCATACATCAGATTAAAACGTTGCCTCCCCCTTTTTGGGAGGCTTTAATCTGATGTCTCCCCTATTGGCCATTCCTGGTGAGTTGGTCCGTTCCTCCTATGAATCCGGTTGGGGGCTCAGTCATCCCGGGAGTCAGGGTGCTAGTTGGAAAGAGAATCCGGAATACTCATCAGGTGGCGCGCCTCCTCGTTTGTCTCAGAGCTCCTCCGCCTCGGCTTGGCGGAGCCACCAGTCCAATAGCTCAAAAGGTTGGCGTGGTTGGAATCTCGCTGGAGCCTCCAGAAATGTTGCAGAAAAGATCCAAAATCAGACTGGCAAGAAAACAAGCAACACTCAGAGAGTTGGAGAACTCAGGTTTATTATGCCAGAGGACCCAGAAGAGCTAGTGCTCTGAAGATCTGGGCCTGGAGCTCAGTTGCAACATCCCTTATATAGACCTGTTTTGGCACAGGCTGATTGGTTGATTTTCAGACCGTTACAATGTGGTGAGAATTGCTATGGTTGTAGGTAGTTACGTCGTGTTACACAGGGCGGAGTTGCTATTGGTTACCGGCAGTTATAAAGTGTTACAAAAGCGCAGGGAGTACAAACAGTTATATTTGTTGCTCAAACAAAAGGGAAAGTAAGTCTTTAGTCAATTTCGAGTACAGCCCCATGCAGCAAGCATATTTACAGAAGTGGAACAGAGAGCTGATTAGCCTTTTGAATGAAAATTCCTCTTCAATACTGCAACCCTTCCTTTGGATGGCACCATCTTGGATTGACTTGTTTGCTTGCACGTCAATGTCCTGAATGAATGAGGCTTTGGGGAAAAGTTCCCTGAT